GATGGAAAGATAGAAATGTGGAGGGATGGATGGATGGATGGATGGATGGATGGATGGATGGAAGGATGGATGGAAAGATAGAAATGTGGAGGGATGGATGGATGGATGGATGGATGGATGGATGGATGGATGGATGGATGGATGGATGGGTGGATGGATGGATGGATGGGTGGATGGATGGATTGGAACCACAGGACATCCCAGTACAGAGAAGAATCACATTTGCTCCTGTAAGTTCTGGGTCTGTCTGGGATCTCTTCCCAGTCCCTGAAAATCCTCTAAATGGATCTTCTTGATCAGATTGCCAAAACACCTCAACTGACTCCATTTTGGCTGCCTGTTTCTGGGATGTCTTTTTCTGGTCATGATGCAAACTTCATGATCATAAGTGAGGTGCTGGAAGGTAGACAGACCTGTAAATCAATAGCTTTGCTTTTTGAATCAACTCATGGTAGTGTGACTCTTCACTCTACGTGTGTTTTGAGGTCCTGGAGAAGGCTTATGACCGTGGTCCCTGCAGCATTCTATCAGGAGATGCTGCAGGAGTGTCTGGGTTGATCTTAAGGGCTTCCTGGTCCCTGGATAACCAAAGCAGGAGCTACGTCTGTATTTTTGGCACAAAGTTGAGCTCATTTTTATTGCAGATTGGACACCACCAGGGCTGTTGTTTTTCTTTGACCCTGTTTATGGTGTTCATGGACAGGATCTCAAGGTGCAGTCGTGGAGATGAGGGTGTCTAGTTTGGGAACCACAGGGTTCTGTATTTGCTTTATGTGGATGATGTGGTTCTGTTGGCATCTTTGGGCCAAGTCCTTCAGTTTACACTGGGGGAGTTTGCATTGAAGCAGCTGGGATAAGAGTAATTTCCTCTTAGTCTAAAGGCTTCAGTATGGTCGCTCGGAAGCCGGCTGGACGACACGCAGTCATGTGGTTGTTCAATCTTTGTTTTCACACACCTTTCATAGCCCCTAGACACACCATGCCGAGCTCTTGAGAAACCCCTCCCACTGCAGCATATGTCACTGCATGGGGTTTCTTCCCGCTGGAGTCTACAATGCAGAAAAAAAATCAGATACCCATTACCCATTATTTATTCACAAATCTGTCATGTTTTAAGCTCCACAGTTTTTATCAGTCAGATTCCTCCGTGCACAATGTCTGCTTTATCTCCATTCATGAGTTTTTGACCGTTTAACTATCTTTATTAATGCCTTCTTCTTGGTAGCCTATAACAGTTGGCTTCTCGAAGCGAGTCGCTTTTTTCTTTTTGAAGCGAATGGTTGAAGTAAAATGCAGCATCTGAGCGCTTTCAGCATGAATAAACACTCCCACTAACTTCTGACCAGTCATAATAAGTTCTCATGTGGAGGGGCATGCAAGCGGAGGAGTTTAGTATCTTATTCTCAAGAGATGGTCAGTTGGTGCGAGAGATGGATTGACGAATTGAGTCGTCATCCTCAGTAATGCAGGCGTGGCTTTGGTCACTCGTGAAGAATTTTGTTGTCAACAGCTCCAGTATGGGAAAGTGTGCAGTTAAATTTTAGCAAATGTGACATTCCCTCAAATCAGTTGGTCATTTTTTTAGAAACAGTTGTTTTAAAAACCTGAAAAACAAATTTAAAATCATTTAGCTTGAAAAAAAAGTTCTAGCCTTTTTATATGTTTTGTATGTCAAATAATTATTTGACAGAACATCTCTTCAAATATAATCAAACTATCCATTTAAACCTAGTATTGACATTAGACAGAGTGTCAGCCCCACGGACAGAAACTGGAAGTTGGTTCCACAAGAGAGGAGCTTGATAACTGAAAGCTCTGCCTCCCATTCTACTTTTAGAAACTCCAGGAACCACAAGTAAACCTGCAGTCTKAGAGTGAAGTGCTCTGTTAGGAAAGTATGGAACAATAAGATGTTTAATATAAGATGGAGCTTGAATGTTGAGAGGTTTGTATGTTAGAAGTAAAATTATGCAATATTTTCTGAGTTTTACATGGAGCCAAAGGGGAGAAATACACTTACCGGCCACTTTATTAGGTACACCTGTCCAACTGCTCGTTAACACTTAATTTCTAATCAGCCAATCACATGGCGGCAACTCAGTGCATTTAGGCGTGTAGACATGGTCAAGACAATCTCCTGCAGTTCAAACCGAGCATCAGTWTGGGGAAGAAAGGTGATTTGAGTGCCTTTGAACGTGGCATGGTTGTTGGTGCCAGAAGGGCTGGTCTGAGTATTTCAGAAACTGCTGATCTACTGGGATTTTCACGCACAACCATCTCTAGGGTTTACAGAGAATGGGCCGAAAAGAAAATACATCCAGTGAGCGGCAGTCCTGTGGGCGGAAATGCCTTGTTGATGCCAGAGGTCAGAGGAGAATGGGCAGACTGGTTCGAGCTGATAGAAAGGCAACAGTGACTCAAATAACCACCCGTTACAACCAAGGTAGGCAGAAGAGCATCTCTGAACGCACAGTACGTCGAACTTTGAGGCAGATGGGCTTCAGCAGCAGAAGACCACACCGGGTGCCACTCCTTTCAGCTAAGAACAGGAAACTGAGGCTACAATTTGCACAAGATCATCGAAATTGGACAAGAGAAGATTGGAAAAACGTTGCCTGGTCTGATGAGTCTCGATTTCTGCTGCGACTTTCGGATGGTAGGGTCAGAATTTGGCGTCAACAACATGAAAGCATGGATCCATCCTGCCTTGTATCAACGGTTCAGGCTGGTGGTGGTGGTGTCATGGTGTGGGGAATCTTTTCTTGGCACTCTTTGGGCCCCTTGGTACCAATTGAGCATCGTTGCAACGCCACAGCCTACCTGAGTATTGTTGCTGACCATGTCCATCCCTTTATGACCACAATGTACCCAACATCTGATGGCTGCTTTCAGCAGGATAATGCACCATGTCATAAAGCTGGAATCATCTCAGACTGGTTTCTTGAACATGACAATGAGTTCACTGTACTCAAATGGCCTCCACAGTCACCAGATCTCAATCCAATGGAGCATCTTTGGGATGTGGTGGAACGGGAGATTCGCATCATGGATGTGCAGCCGACAAATCTGCGGCAACTGTGTGATGCCATCATGTCAATATGGACCAAAATCTCTGAGGAATGCTTCCAGCACCTTGTTGAATCTATGCCACGAAGAATTGAGGCAGTTCTGAAGGCAAAAGGGGGTCCAACCCGTTACTAGCGTGGTGTACCTAATAAAGTGGCCGGTGAGTGTATGATCCCTCCTTTAAACTCTCATCAGATCTCTGACAGCAGCATTTTGGATCAACTGAAGACTTTTCGGAAAGTTTTCAGACATTTCAGCAAAAATATCCTAGAATGCTTGTTTCCCTCGAGCACACCTTGTTTTTGAAGCTTGAAAGGAAAAACGACCAGAATATCCAGATGCCTGTTTTGTTGCAATTTGCTTGAAGTACTTGGCAGTGGGCCTCCCCTCCAGGGCAATGCAGTACTTTGTGGATGCTGGAACAGCTGGCACACATTAAACCCTCTGACTCAGAAACTACAGTGGTATTCTTAAGATCTGCACTGTGTTCCCTTTGGCTCTGCACACATGGAGCATTAGACTGACATAAAACGAAGCTGTTAAACACAAGATATGTTTTAAATCAACTAGAAGATTATTTGCGGCATTTGTTCTGGTACTTACAGTTAACCACAGTAGTGGTTTAAAATAATCTGAACTCATATAAGAAACCTTCAGTAAGACAGTAAGAGCCAAACATAAACACTTTCTTAGATGAGCTCAAACCTACAAAGTAATGTTATTTTATTATGACAATGTTTGCAATCATTTTGACCTGGGTTGACTTAAAAAATAAACAGTTATAGATCCACTGATTGCTGAGGATTTCATTAAATTCTGTTCAATGATTCACAAGATATTTCATCAACAGGCAGTGTTGACTCCAATCAAAGTTTTAAGCAAAGAAATTTCATTGCGTTAGGGTTAAAGCTATTTTATGTTTCTGCTGTCGCTCGGGGCCTTCTTAATTCGGATCAACTCCAAAATTTATTCAGTTTTAGTTGTACGTCCAGTCATTTTTTTTCTGAATTTAATTAAAATTTGTCCAATGGTTCATGAGATATGTTTGTTAAAACAGCAAACAATGCACAGAATTTAACACATGCACACGCATAAGAAAGTATTATGTTTTTTAGAGGTGGGTGATAATGAACAAAACAAGATCATTTATTACCAAAGAAGCTTCAGACTGAAATGACAACAAAACGTTCTTATACAAAGTCCAAAAGTAATGTGACTTACTTTTATAATGTGTAAAGTTTACAGGAGTAAGAGGAGTTTGCTAAAGTGTTGGAAAGTTTAGTCAGCTCCACAGGAAGTGTCTGAAAACTGAAATATGCAGGATGGTGTTCCCCAAGCACCATAGTTGGTGACACATAAATTTAGACTCATGTCTCCTGACTGATTAGGCTTTGTTAGTATAGTTATATATCAGTCTTATGACATTTTACTAACAAAGATCACAGAGACAGGAGTCAATCTTGCTGTTTATTAAATAAATTTAAACAATGTTTAAAAGACATTAACCTGCTTATCAATCCTCTTTAAAATGCCTAAAACTCCTAAAAACAAGCCTATTCAAACTAAATTAGATGCTGTTTTTAAACTCTTTGAAGATAAAGTTTTATTTTTCTGTAAAGATAAAATTAGAGTTTTTGACCTCATCAGTCAGAATTATTGTAACTGTAGTTGCAGTATTGAACATTTATTTCTTGCTTTCATTATTTAAAAATGTTTTTAATGTTTCTGCATGCAGTCATTTTGACACTGTGGTATTTAAACTTGAAACCCTTAGCAGACTCTATAAGACTCTGTATTTATCTTTGTCATTGGGTGAGCCACCATTAAGCTGTTATTTAAAAAATGAAGCCGTATAAGTAACTTTATGAATAAAACTTTTAGTAATTGCAAAATTAGAACTTAAAATGTATGAGCTTGACTGTGATTAGTGACCTATCTTTAAGCTGAGCTTTATGATAATGTAGGTATTGTTAAGTTTATGGAAACCTTTTTAAACATATTGCTCTTTATCTAATCTTTACAGTCTCCTGTGCTAAAGGCCCAGACAGTCACCATCTCAGATGTCACCAACTCCCTACGAGGAACTGTGGCCTACCAAGACATCCCTTTAGTTCACACTGAAACCAAGACCATCACATACGAGTCAGCACAGGTGAGGAGAATTTAGGGAACTGCACATGCCAGAAACATTTCAGGTATTTGAAGGCTGGTAATCAATTACTTCTTAGCTTTGATGTTTAAATAGGCTCACAGCAATGCAGTCATTTCTAAGACATACTGTAAAAATATAAAATTTCTATCATTCCTTGAATGAATGCATATCATCTGCAGTTTTAAACTAAAATTATCTCATGTTGAGTTATAGTTGTTTTGACCCAACTTTTAAATTAATCTCACAAAATTCCAACATCTTGCACAAGCATAATATGTGGTGACTTCCAGCGTCCACTGCACCAAATTTTAGCTCAATAACTGTAAATTTAAATGATTTATAGCCATTTATTGTGCTAAGATTGCTTAGCGGTGGCAGCCATCTTGAATCGTTCAGTGGTTCATGAGATGTTTTACTAACATTACAGACAACCAAGCAAAAGATGTTAGCACCTTTTTACCTTTAGCTGCAGGCGAAAAGAAGCCAGGACTCAAACCGGAAAATTAAGAAGAGATCTGAGGGGGATTCCAGCTTCCTTGGACAAAAATATAAATTTGGATAAGTGACCAGTTCAAATACGGAAATCCAAACATGAAAATTGATTATTCTAACAAAATGTTTTAATAACATCACAAATAAACCCACCAAACATTCATCTCAGCCCTGTTGGAATCAAACAACCTGCTGTATCAGACATCAGAGCAGAAGAGATGGACTTTAAGTTCCTCTGTAGATGAGAGACAATTCTGGAAATACAAGAGAGCTGTTAAAGCTGCTAAGACATTTTTTCATCAAACATGGCAAACAGACCTGGTTTTTTAAAAGTTTTGATTAAATATCCATCTGATGATGGTCCTGTTCTAGAAGCCCATGCTCTGTGCAAAAAGTTTGAAAAGTGTTTTTATTTGGAAAATCTGATCGATGAGGCTCCCCTCAGTTCTGGTTCTTCGCCTTCTTCATGCTTTGAACAGTTTGAGTCTGTGACATTTTCTGTTTCTGCCCTTAAATCCTCCCCTGGACAGCATTCCTTCCCATCTTTTTTAAAGAATACTTCCACATCCAGTTGTTGCTCTGATTCAACTTTTCAACAAGCCGTGGTCCTGCTGCTTTTAAACATGTTGTTGTGCCACTTGGGGACACGCTGGGTGGGCCTGGACGGGCCTGGGCCACTTTTTGGCTAAGTGCCCTGTCAGATAGTTCAATTTTCTTTTCTCTGTCATTTCTGTCACGTAAAACAAATAAAAAAACAATGTTCTAGGCTACCAATTAAGAAACTTTACTAACGGCTACTGTGCCTAAAACTAGTTTTGTTTGTTCAGTGGAATTTGTTTGTTGTCTGTAAAGACTGTCGAGGTACAATCTTGTAGACCCAATGGGCCTCATGCAAGAACCATTCGTACGCACAGATTTGTTCTTAAGTTGTGCGTACGAGTGATTTAGGAGAATTTGTGGCATTCACCAATGTTTTCGTATTCTAAGATTTTTTTCAGATACGAACAAAATTCACGAGTGGTCCAGACCTGTTGTATATTTTACCAGCAGTCAGTCTGCTGTTATCCAGACGGGTTTTCTTCACTAATAACTTTATATTTCATTAGTTTGAAGATATTTTGAGTTGAAAATAAATTACACTCCATAATTATGTTGACAATAGGCTATTCTGCTTGAATTAGAGTTATAATTTTAAATGTAATAATTTAGACTAACAATATAAATTGTCCGTTCGTCCATTTTCCGCCGCTTATCCGGGATCGGGTCGCGAGGGCAGCAGCAAAGAGACCCCCTTCTCCCCAGCTACACCTTCCAGCTCGTCCTGGGGGACTCCGAGACGTTCCCAGACCAGAGGGGATATATGATCAAGTCCAGGATTTTCTCCAAAGTGCCAGACTTATTTTGAAAACATTTTAAAATGCTTATTTCAGACCCGCATCTGAGACCACCTGCACCGCGCAGCGCGCTGCGGTGGGGGGGGGGTTACGGTGCGCAGCGCTGTGTCTTCTGAATAAATGAAAATGATTTAACACAGTTGTTTATACTTTTAGCAGCTCTTTTTATTCCACAGCTGACCTGCTAAAAATGACAGATTTTCTTTTCTGGATCTCTGACAGACGGACTTCAATCTCTGAACTCGTAAAGTTTTTATTTTTTCAGTTTTCGCTGTCATTTTTCATGAATGAACACTTCCTGATATCTGAGGCAGGAAACATAGCCTTATATGGTGTTTTTGGGGTGGTAATTATGCTAATCTCCTCTCGCGTGCACGAGCAGCTGGATACGAACAGGTGGAATTTACGCAGCTCATTTACACACTTTTCCTGAAGATTGAAGAGTTTGTTGAATCTGACGTGACATGTTCGTACGAACCCTTTGTACGAACAAAAGTAAGAGAAATTTAGGATAAGAATACGAACATGTTYTTGCATGAGGTCCATTGTTCTCATTGTTGGGTTCAGCAATCCACTGAATCAGTCCCATAAAAATCCCTTTTTACTGATTTGTGAATTGAAATATTGACAGTTTGAATCGGTGATGTACAAGAAGAATCATAATTCTATTCACCATCTACTTCTGATTTGGGAGTAAGCTGTAAAATAGAATTTTTGGTCAGACCAAAGAAGGTTTTTTTTTTCCTGTAGACACAAAGCATTTTTTTAAACAACCTAATAAACTCATACTTTGTGTTTTAAAGTATTTTATACCAAATATCAGAAGATTCGATGCATCAGAACATGCCTTTCTAAAAACAGTAAAATTTGGTGTCATATAGAAAAGCCATGATTGTTAATGAGTAACAAAGTTGTAACAACCACATTTAGTGCATACATAAAAATACTAATGTTTCATGCATTAGATTAGTCTCTAAGGTTTACAGCACAGTCTGACTGTCAGACACAAACTCAAAAACTAGAATTGCAAAGCAGTTGTGACCGGGGTCCAAGCCCATTTATTTCCAGCATACTGTCAACCCTGTGCACAACTAATTGTAGCATAATGGAGAGTAATATATACGGTCTGTTAGAAGGAACTAGTGCAGAGCTATTTAACTGGTGGCCCACGGGCCACATCAGGCCCACTGGTGACCAAAATCCGGCCTGCCGATATGTTCATTAATCTGTTAAGCCCAAACTCCTAGCCTGGTTAAAATCATCCCCTTGTCCTTCACTTTGCTTCATACGAGGGTCTGGACTCTCGGCTATAGAGAAGCAATTCTTGCTGGAGGCGTGGCCTCTGTCGAAGTTTAAAAGGATTGGATCGGTTGGCCGCGACGAATGTGTGCCACTGTGAAGGAGGCAAAGCTTAAAAGCTAACCGTAATTTGCATGCACTGTAAACAACCCTACTGAGAGGAGATAAGTACCGAGCCAAACGAGATGGCTGTAAATGAGAGCTGCAGGCTTTGTCAGACAAATATAAATTAATTTGGAAGCCTTATCAACGTGGACTGGCTTCATTCACTTCCTCCACTGCCATTGCTAAACTCACAAGCAGACACTGCGTAGAACATCGACGTCATTCAAAACTCCACCTCCTGTTCTCTGATTGGCCCGACTGAAATGCTCCCGGACGGAGCAGTGAAGGGAAACTAGAATTGAGAGAAACTGCGTAGGAAGGCAAGGGCCAGGCTAGCAAACTCCCTGTTTTTTCTACTTTAATTTCTATTAGTTTGTTTTAGTTAGACATAGACATGTGTGGTATCTACAGAAATGTCAGAATCTTAGCTAGAAGCTGGTAAAAAATATATATTTCTATGAACCCCCAAGACACCTAAAACTACAAGCAGTTAAAGATAAAGTCAAAATAAAATCTGTTTAAAATTTTGGCAAATCACAGATGTAAGAATAATCTTTATTAAATAGAAGGCAAAATGTCTTTGTTTTTGATGTTTTATTATCACTACTTTTATTACATTGTGTTCTGTATGTTGAATTTATGATTAAATGCAGCAAAATAAACAAATTCAAAAGGTAACAAATCTTTGTAATGCTTTATTTACATAATGCCTTTATTTGCTGGATGTTCGGCCCCTGTGCTGTTGGCCTGCAGTAACTGTGGCCCCTGCAGCACCCTAGTTTAGTAGCCCTGATCTAGTGCCTCAGTATCTGTTTAGCTCTTTCTCCACAGGTGTGCCAAAAAGCAGTTCTCGTTGATTCAGGGTTGGCCAAATTTGTCTCCATTTTCAGTTACAATCATGGTTTTGGATCAACCTCTTTGCACAAACGTGATTTTGACATCAACAGACTGTGGATTGACTGCGCCAAGGCAGAACTTCTGAGGAATGAAAGATAGATACTGAGGTCCCAGTTATCAGCAAAATAAATAAATACAAAAAAGTACAAAATTGCACAGTGTTACAGATGGAGTGTACAGCAACATACAAAATCAAGCATTCATCCATAGTAAATTATTTCCAAATATATATATATATATATATATAT